ACAGCTGTTTGTCTCAATTCTGCTGAGGTGAAATTCAGTGCAGTCATGTACCGTGATACGTATCGTATCGTGGCCTCTGTATCGTGATGCGTATCGTATCGTGACTTTGCTGGTGATACACAGCCCTAGTGCGCAGTGGCTAGAGTAAACGCATTGCAGTGTGTGCGCTTTCTAAGCATTTTAATGCTGTTGCTGCACTGGACTGAAAGTCGATGTTGGAGCAAATTGACGTGTGATGAATTGTTATTGCAAATAATCAGAAAAAGACCGATCATTAGTGCCACGTGCTTCTGTACTCGGCTATTCGTGCCAATCCCTACTCTTATCTATGGCTTCCACTGCCATACATGGAGTGCATCCTCTCACTCTCATTCACAAACTCTCCCTGTCCTTATCTAATGATCACCCCAGGTTATAAGGGCAAGTGTGCGTCTCTTCGTGCCAGTTCGGATGTGTGTGTGTTCGTGAGGGCATGTGGAGGGGATGTACAGAAGTCTTTTTGGCTCAGCATGACATGGATACTTTAAGCCGATACTCAGAGTGAGCGGCGCCCACAGCTTCCTTTTCTTGTTGGCACTGCACAAAGCCAAGGAGATGACGCCAAGACCACCTCACGCAGACTGATGTCTTCCACAGCTGGTGGCACGGACAGAGATTTGAGGAATGAAGCTTAAAAAGATGGCTTGCTGTGCATTTATGATATGATTAGATACACTACTACAGCTGGAGACATAGGATGAGTCCAAATATGGCAACAAAAGTCTCAAGGAGGACTTAAGCATTTCAGGATGAATTTCAGATGAGAAGAGGAAACGGAAAAGAACAAGTTGACCAGTTCCCATCGCGCTGCCTTTGGCTCCACGCATGCCGGATGGAAACTGTTTTAGGATATGCTAGCGATATGACATCCCTATCCTCCCTCCTTGCTCAAAAAAGCACCACATTTCATTTCTGTTTGCTTTGTTTATGTCCTGCCGACCCTGCGCGCAGATATTCAAAAGGTAAACGTGCTATAAATACGAGCTCTCTCCACCCTTCTCAAACTTGGACTGTCACACACTGGTAGAGTGTTTTTTTCCTGAGAGGATTTTGCACTTGGCAGTGTATCTTTAATCTTGCACCTTTCGCGCAGGGAACAATACATAGGCTCTCGCTGAAGCTGTGAAAGTAGCCGCGGGGCCCTTCCAGAAGCCGACCTGAGGGCCTAGCCGCGATGTCTATATCCTGTAGTAACAGGATGTGAGGAGATGGACTGGAGTCACGTTTCCACATCCTCGCCCTCCCCTCTTACGCATTGAACATAGGAAGGGATGTTAGAGAGAAGTTGGTTACCTAAGACTTAGGTGGGATTAGTTGGTAAAGGTGAGGGGGGCACAATCTTTTACTTTACAAGTGTTCATAAATATTAATTAAATGATGTGATGTTCGCCCAGTAATCCTATTTTTGCTGAAATTGGCGGTAGATAGTTGTAGCAGTTTAGTTCCAGTGTTATTTTAGTATTTTTATGTACTATTAATAGTATTTATTAAGATTTTGAATTTGCTTTTGATTATATATTTGCAATTTTCATTTTAATTTCAGTTTAAGTTATAGTAATGTTATGTGCTTTTCTCATGCTTAAAATAACTATTTAACTTTATTTTTATGTCAGTTTTAGTTTCAATTTTAGTTCTTCAACTTAAACCTACTACGTTTTGTTGCCAAGGCAAAATTTAAAATTATTGTTCAAGTTATTTTTATCTAATATTTATATTTTATTTGATTTCAGCTTTATTTCAATGAATGAATACAATTTGTAATAGTTTTTAAAATAACACTGGTTTGTTCAGTACAGTGTCGATTGGTAGAGGTAATTGCTTGGTCTTAAAGTCATCCTTTTTTGTGGCTCTAATTTTGTCAAATTATGCAAAAAAGTGTGAAAATATTATGTAATTGTGTGTATTTAGGATACACAGACTGCTAGCTGTGCAATTAGCCAAAAGATTCCAGTATTTTGTTCCAAAATCATTTCCACCACATTGTCATTTCCGCCAAAGAATGCTGCTACACAATACATAATTTGAGATGTGGCGGAAATGACAATGTGGTGGAAATGTTCATGATGCTTTAGAAAAATGACAGAATTGTATGTTCACTGTTGGTCATTGTCATTGGAAAATATGTGTTTAAAAAGAGTTTATTTTAAGTCCACAAGGCCAAAAGTGCCCATACTTAAAGAAATAATCTATAGTTGGGGTAAAGGGGTTATCTAATGCCTTACCTTATGCAGTAGTGCTTCCTAGAAACCAGGAGATTTTGAGCAGCTCACACTGGGAGGAAAGCATTCACCTGATCCCCTGAGAAAGGGCAGGACACTTCCACAGTGTCACATCTAAGCCTGTAAACATTTCCTCCATCGAATATGGAAGTAAACAAAATCATAACACCACTCTCCAAGAAGTTCTGAAGGACGGTGCACTGTTGAACCCATCAGAGCCCTTGTGTGCGCTGGCCAAATGAGATTAAAACTGAAAGCACATGTTTGTTTTTAAAATACACACAAATGGAAATCTTTTAGAGCTTTGCAAAGTGTAAGCACAAATCTCTGTTGTACCTAAAATAAATGCAAAAGCTTGTGATGTAGCTGTTAATGTTTTTTTAATTATCCTTTATGTTACATTTTCAGTTTCCTTTCCACCAGTTAGCTCCTGATTATATAAACATCATCTGGAACAGCAGGCAAGGTTTCACAATCCGTAGTCCCACATTCTTCTACATCGGGCTATTTTCCTGTGAGACTATCGTCAATGGAGTCAAATATAGCAACAAGTTCTTGACTCACAGACCAGGTAAGCACTTAAGGTTTCTATGAGTAACGTCTTAGTGAACCAAAAATTGGGACCTAAATTTAAGTTTTAAAATTGCAACCATTTTCTTCTCCTGCAGTGAATAAAATCCTGGATGTGTATTTGAACAGCACGGGTTTGGTCCACACGTTACAGGGCCAGATGTTAGCACTGAACTGCACCGTTACAGCTGAATGGAACGCCAGGGTTTCCATTAGCTGGACGTACCCACAAAAGGTGGGGTTTACACAGTGACAGTATGCAGTTGTGATTTATGAACTGCTATTTTTAATATCTTTATTCTGCAGTTGGTATAATCATAATCTATGTACATGGATTTTTAAAGGAATAATTCACCCAGAAATGAAAATTGTGTCATCATTTACTCACTCGCATGTTGTTCCAAACCTGTATAAATTTTTTTCTTATGTTGAACACAAAAGAAGATGTTTTGAAGAATTTTGAAGAACCAAACAGTTGTTGGTCCCCATTGACTTCCATAGTAGGGATAGAAATAGCCTACTATTAAAGTCAATGGGGACCATCAACTGTTTGATTACCAGAATTCTTCAAAATATCTTCTTTTATGTTCAGCATAAGAAACTCAGACAGGTTTGGAACAACATGAGGGTGAGTAAATGATGACAAAATTTTCCCTTTTGAGTGAACTATCCCTTTAAGATAAATTAAACTCATCTTGATGCATTACTACTAAATTAATTAGTTCCACAGCAAAACCCATTAGAAAGAAAATCATGAATTTGCTTGTTTAATATCTTATTGAAAGCAAATGGAGACTTTTGCTTAAGTCTCCTGCATCACAGTTTTTCTTCTGAGAAAAAGACTAATGAAATGTGTCCACTCTAGAGTCTCAAATTGTGCTTAGATTTGCTAATATATCAAAGTCTGCCATCAAAACTGAACATCAAAATGATCAGGAAATTAATTAATATAAAATAATAAAAATAAATATAATTAATTAATAATTAATGTCCTGTATGTACACATACTGTGTGTGTGTGTGTAAATACATTTCTCAATATGTCTCATTTGCTTCTATTTTCGTTTTTGTATTACTTTGATACTTAAATGCAACATCATAACTTACTCCATTTAACCTCCTGAGCTATAAAAGAGCAAACTCAAATTTTTCTTTTTGGCAACTAGAGAAATTTTAAATGACAGTTTGTGCACTAACAGACATTCCCTTTTTAAAGTGTTTTAAATGGCCATTAAATGGCCAGCTGTTCTGTAGACCTAATTTCATCTGAAAGCCATGTTGTTTATATTCTTGATGTTTGTGACACAATTTGCTTTGCTTGTTTTTACTTCAGGCTAATGGATCTGCCACTATCATCAGACGCATATCTAGGAGCCGAACCAACATGCTCTTCTACAGTGTTCTCACCATTCCCAGACTGAGCAAAGCAGACAGAGGACTTTACAAATGTCATGTAACAAGTGGTCCATCCAAGCGAGAAACAAATACCACAGTTATCGTCTATGGTGAGTTTTAGAATCAGTCACCTTGTCGCTGAGTTAAAATTTGCTTTGAAACCAAACTGCTGTTCCACATCTAATGGATTCTAATTCACTATTTACAGCTTTTTATCTCTCAGTTGTCCACACATGTGTTTCTGATTGTCTTACTCTCTTGTCTGTTTGTTCCCAGACCAGCCTTTCATTCGACTCAAGCACAGAGATGGCCCTGTGGTTCAGGCTTCTGCAGGACAGAAATCTTTCCATCTTACTCCAAAACTAAGGGCTTTCCCTGCACCTGAAGTCATCTGGTAAAATTTCCTGTGATTACATAGTTCTGCTGCTAAGTAGTTGATTAAATTATCATTAAATTGTACAGAAACAACATATTTGGCCTAAAGAGGAAAAAATCTCAATAACTGAGTTTATTGCTTAGGTTGAAGGATGGGATGGTCGCCGCCGAGCGGTGTTCCCGTTACCATGTAGATGGGTTTTCTCTGGTCATTCGGGATGTTGCTGAAGAAGACGCAGGAATCTACACCATCCTTACTGGCATCCAGCAGTATGGGCTTTATCAGAACCTCACACTCACGTTGGTGGTAAATGGTGAGACTTAGCATAAAGAGTTTTTTTCTTTTAATTAGTAGTGTTGGGTAATGATTATTTGCGATTAATCACATCCAAATTAAAAGTTTTTGTGTACATAATATATGTGTGTGTGTACTGTGTATATTTATTATGTATATATAAATACACACATGCATGTATATATTTAAGAAAAATTGTATGTTTATATATTAAATATATTTATATATAATATAAATTAGATGAATATAAATATGTACATGTAAATACATGTAAATATTTTCAAAATATATACTGTATGTGTGTCTTTATATATATACATATTAAATATACACAGTACACACACATATATTATATTTAGGGATGCACTGATACCACTTTTTCCAGGGATCACACAACAGAAGTGCGTGCGCTCTCTCTCTCTCCCTCCCTACCGTTAAGTAACTTGTGCATTGTTTTACTTACTTGTTTTTGACACATCCGACCGAACTACAAGCTTTCCAGTGATGTCTGTGAGAAAGGTATATTCACTCGACAAACTCGCGCATCTGCGCCGCCGCGCGGACAATCCACTCAGCGTGCTTTGCTTATCAGCTCGTGCACATCAGCTATACAGGCGTATTCAAATAGTTGAACCTAGGCCAAATATTGTCCTATCCTAACAACCCATACATCAATGGAAAGTGTATTTATTCAGCTTTCAGATGATGTGTAAATCTCAATTTAAAAAAATTTACCCTTATGACTGGTTTTGTGGTCCAGGGTTACATATAAACAAAAACTTTTATGTTGGATGCGATTAATCGCGATTAATCGTTGCCCAGCACGACTTTTAATGTTATAGAACTGTTTTATCAAATTCAATCAAACCATTTTGTAAATTTGATAGTTGAACAAACTATAATTAAAATGTAAAAAAAGATCCTGTTTTACATTTTTTTTGCTCAAACACACACACGCACATAATAAATAATTTATTATTATTTATAATGGAGACTATGACAATATGCACTCATTGCCTTTTCCCTTTCATCAAAATCTGTTCACAGTGAAGCCACAGATTGGAGAAAAGACAGTTTCCTCTCAGCAACCCGGGACTGTCCAGCGAGGCAGCAGACAAGCCCTGCACTGCACCTCTCATGGTGTCCCACCACCTCAAATCCAATGGCTCTGGCATCCATGTCCTCCGAAAGGCCTGTAAGTCCACAATCCACTCAGAAACACACAAATGTTTGTCAAATATGAAATAAGGCAGTGATGAATGCACATTGAAATGCAGATCAAATACACAACCTTATTATTGTGAGCCAAAGTAGCCTACTCACATAACATAGACCCTGTTTTAGGAAGATTATGGTCCCTTTGTTTTATTCAGGCTTCTGCGAGTTCTCTAAAATCTCATTTTATTTCCCACTCTCATGTTTTAAAAAGTGAAAGCATTACAATGAACTTTCTAAATTTGCAAACATTTCCCCAATGACTGACTAATCATGTCCTCATTGCCCTTTAGTCACAGAGGAAAGGGATACGGTGAAGAATACTGGGTCAGGGCCAAAAATTCAGCCACTTTTAATTTAGTATTTGATCCAGGTGAAAAAACACATGCAAGACAATGCAATTTTGCTAGGTTTGGATTTCTCACACTAGACTAAGTTAGATATCCTCTCCATCATTGCGTAATGTCCTGAAACCATTTAAACATTTCAGTTATTTCACACTGTACCTGGTCACAGTGTGTTTGATGTGTTTTTTTTTAGAATGAATGCACATATGAGTGGAGACATGTCTATATTTACAGACATACACACACACACATATGTATGTGTGTGTGTCTGTGTGTGTGTTTGTGAATAGAGACCTGTTTTGTCTAATTCAGCATGTGTTCAGACAGGGTTTCCTCTTAGCCTGTAGAACAGATGCTTGAGAAGGCCTTTCATGTGTGTATCTCTATTCATTTTTGTGTGGATGCAGACGCTCGTGTGTATGTGTTCGTATTTGTGTGAATGTGTGCCTGGTACAGTCACAGAATTGAATTTAACTCCCGAGTTGAAAGTGCAGAAAAAGCACTTCAAAAGAAGCCAGTTCCGTGCTTACAAGCACGATATGTTCGTTTCTAAATCAAACACTATGATTTAATGAACTTCCTGTGCAGAATGCTGGCTGTTTATTATTGTGATCGCTCAGACGCATCCTGCCATGCCTTCTTCAATGTCTGACACACCACATATCCACCGTTCTCATGAGAAAAATTTAGCAAGCATTACTCATCTCACAGAAACACCCTGCCACATACATTCCCGACTTACTCCCATATAGACACACACACACACACCAATATTTTTTTAAATCCACAAACCCTGAAAATGTTACACTACAGTACGACACTGCCATTTCTACTCAAAAGGTGTCCATTTTTAGGTCATGCTTCCCCTTATTGTACTGCCTTCATGACATGTTATATTGGTGATATTTTCTTGGCCTATTCTTTGAGTGCTTCCTAAAAGAACTAAAAATGAAATATCACTGAGAGGAAAAGTCTTGTTGACTGGAATAATGAAACGAACTCCCTGTATGTGCCAACTATCCTTCATGCAATCTTAAAGTGACAGTTCATCCAAAAATGCAATGATTCAATTAATATTAATACTGTTTGGTCCAATATGTCCAAGAAGGTCCAATTCTTGCTAATAACAAACCAGTAACAATGACCTCAATAAATTACTAATTTGCTGCTTATTAATAGTTAGTAAGGTAGTTGTTAAGTGTATGTATTGGGTAGGATTAGGGATGTAGAATATGGTCGTGCAGAATATGTACTTTATAAATACTAATAAACAGCCAATACGTTAATAATAGGCATGCTAATAAGCAACTAGTTAATAGTGAGAATTGGTCCCTATACTAAAGTGTTACACTCTAAAAAATGCTGGGTTGTTTCAACCCAATTTTGGGTCAAATATGGACTAACCCAACTGTTGGGTTAAATTTTGGTTACATTTTTAAATTAACTTTTTAACCCAACAGTTGGGTTAGTCCATATTTGACCCAAAATTGAGTTGAAACAACCCAGCATTTTTTAGAGTGTACCTAGTTTTTTAATATTTCTAGTTTTATTAAGTTTTAGTTATTGTAGTGCTTCAGTTTAAATAAGAAAAAAAAATAGAAAAGTTGAAAACTAGTTCAAATAAAATAAGTTTCTTTTTTTAATATTTTGTTTTATTTCACGTGATGAATGTTTTTTTAATGGTTTTAGATATGCATAGAAGTTTGGAACAACATTTTTGGGTAAACTGTCCCTTTAAGAAATGCTTTGGTGTTCTAAATGGCAAACCCACATGGAATTTGCGGCAACAAATTTCTTCAGAAATGTAACACTCGTCATACTCTAATTTGATTAAAAACTAAATAATTTATGCTTTCAGTTAGCAATATGTATCTAAAACATTTAGTTTAACACATATTACCTTTTTAAAATTCTTTCTGGGGGAGTTTATGCTAAAATGGGTGCAGAAAATGCCTGTAGATTCTATCTGGGTCTGCCTATCTGATATAATTTTTTTTTTAAATAATTTGCATATTGATTTTGCTGAGATATACTCATCTTAAATTTCAAAAGATATATATGATAAAAAAAATGTAAGCACTGTGTAAAGCTTGATCATTGAAAGGTATTGTATGTACATTCTGTTGAGAGGTCTTGACTGGCTGGACCCTGACTCAGGCCCTTATTCTTTATAGCAGCCCGGCGCGGCTGGCCTGACGCTGTGGCGGAGGAGGCCCAGGGAGAGTGGAGTTGTGGGCCGGGCCGGCCTGATAGCGGCTGGATGGGCTTGAGCTCGGCCATGGGAACAGCAGCACTCTTATCTCAGCCAGGCAGGAGGCGCAGACGGGCTTCCTGTGCGAAAAATCAGAGCGCTTTTCCTCTCGTTGTTTGGCTTCCTCCCCGACGCGAGACAGCTTCCCAGCAGCGTGATTGTCCCTCCGTCTTCAAACGTGGCACAGTCCGCTTCCTCAGGAGCTTGATCTATTCTTGAGAGTCCCTAATCCCACACACACACCCTCCACCCCTCTTTACCGATCCCCCACAATCCACCTCACCTGTCCTGCCACACTCACAAATAACCCTACAACTGCCAGTGCCCTTCCTTATCCACATCACTAAAAGCAGGCCATCTCATGAGGATCCAGAACAGCTGGGCTCACACAGGACGGAGAAGCTGATATCTCTGCACCCCTGGAACTACATTCTAATTTATTCCTCTTTGTTGTTGTTGTATAGAGACAGTTTTTTCTGCTCTTCCTCTTTCTGAGCATGATCCCCATCCATACACTGCCTGGTGCTGCTTTGCTTTTTGTGTTCTTGAGTGGTACTATAAAGGATGTATGAACCAAGCCTCCATCTCCAAAGCCCAGACCATCAGTTGTAGTTCTAACATCCACAAAAGCTGTGAGTTCAGATTGTACACAATGAAAATATCCTCTATCTACTATCTCGACGTGAGCCAAGGAGGGCAGAGAAAACCGAGGCTCGCTATTTGGATTTCTCGTTTTTTTTGGTTGTTTTTTTCCAGACTGGACCTGGCCCAGAATGCCTGCTGTGTAGGAGTTCTGATAGGCCAAATGAATGACAAAAGCTCTGTGTCATCCTGTTTGTCATCTTATGTTAAACTCTTCCACTTCACAGTGATGCTGTGTATTACAGTTGCTTTATTTTGTGCTGAAAGAAAAGATCCTGCCTGTTTGTATGCAAGTGTTTGTGTGTGTTGAGTGAGTATTTGTGTGTTTGTTTCTACTCTACGGGTCTCTCCCAATGTGATTCGTCCCTTTTTATACAGATTGTCTATGAGTAATATATGATTCTAATATTTAATAATTTTATACAACTAACTTACTTATGGTAAATCTCAATAATTGCCAAATGTGTAAGAACGCAGATAAAACATGTATTTTTAATATCTAATGTATGTGTTTATATCAAATGCATTTGTTTTTACATTAAATTTGCTTGAAATTATTTGTACAATATGGTCTGTTTGGTTCCAGAAAATGCATATGTGAAGTCCTAGCTGCTGGCAAAGATGTAGCTGAAATATTGGCCGACTATAATAAACTGTTTCTTGATTGATGCTTTTCTAGGCAATAAAACAGAGTAGATTTCATAATGACCCACTGAAGTCAGTTCGTAATACTGTACGCAGGCACACCGGGTACATGGATGAAGGTGTGTGAATGCAGAATGAGTGGGGACATTTGTGGTTAAACAAATGGGCGTTTGAAGTCTCTCTCTCTGTGTGTGTGTGTGTGTGTGTGTATGTGTGTGTGTGTGTGTGTGTGTGTGCGTGTATGAGAGAACGAGCGAGCGACTGTTCCCGGAGAGCCGTGGGAGAGTGGACTGTGTGTTTGAGAAGTGCTGTTGTCATGATCAGGGTGGGACATACGAGGACAGAACGCTCACTGTCTCAGCCAAATAGGAAGAGCAATCAGAGAGAGTCGTCAAAGCCAGGGAGGGGTAACAGGGCGGTGGGCACAGTCACGGACAAATACCCATCACCATGGTCCATCAGAACCTTGCTCCAAAGATTAGAGACCTTAAAGAATTGGCATGGATAAGATAATGGGATAAATGCCTAGAAGTTGGTGTGCAAAGTGGATGAGAGGTTGGAACTTCGGAAGCTTGGCTGGGATGATTTACAGGCAGGAAAAGGAACACATCCAAGCCCCACACACTGCTAATTACGGAACACTGCGACGAGTGTCACCGTATCCTGACACAAATGACACACACACACTGAAAATGAATTCCAAAAAAAATTCCAAAGAAACAATTCCGTAAGTTGACTATAGTGAAAAATGAATTCCCAAGAGACCAGGGATCGGAAGATTCCAGTCATCCCCTTTCAGACCGCAGCTGCGCTACACATCTGTGTCTTGTGACATCATGCTTCGACACTTGTGAACTGAGAGTGCTGTCGTTCTCTCTTCCTCTTTCTCGTCCTCTGTCTTCCTCTCTCTAAGATGCAAGAAGCCCCCTACTTCGTCCTGGACTGCAGTCAGCGAGAAGACAGAAGCCACATCCACCCCCAATCCCATCCTGACCGTCAGCCACAGACAGGAAGTGTTAGAAGGGAAGAATAAGGTGAGTGTTCGAGTGGGTGGACTGATGATAGGGAACAGATTAAATGAATACACAAGAGGGCACACAAGAACGCAAAAGTACTCCCAGGATTCACACGAGTGCATCTGCGCTCAGTTCTGTGGAATTATGTGTTCCACCAAATGTTTCTAGATAACAACAATCAAGTTCCAATTCTAGTTAGTTCTGTAGGTGGTTAAACAGGTGTCCTTCCTCTCTGATTACCGGAACAACATTAAATGATTTATTTCAAGAATACTCCATCTCCATCCCCCATGCATGTACCTGAATCGCCCTCCTTGTTGGTGCTAGAACAACAATAACAAATAATAACTAAGAGTATTAAAATAAGTTTGTTTCGGTATCAGTTTGATAAATATCAGAACCTCCTTTTATAAGAAACATGGAGGGAATAGAATCTGATGGCGAGCAATCCAGCTGTCAAAATCAGTTTCCCCAAACCTGTGGAGAGGCATGTTGATGTAGTGGCTTAAAAGTTGTGGATTCTATCCCGTATGAGGATGGGTCTTAACCAGTGTCAGTTTGATACATTTTAAAACCTACTTATATCAGAAAAGTGTGTAAAAGAATCTGACGGCGAGCAACCCGGTAGTCAAAATCTGTTTCCCCAGCCCTGTGGGGAGACATGTTGATTATATGCCTTTTGAGGATGACTCCCAACCAGTATCAGTTTGATAAATATTTGAACCTCCTTCTATAACAGGGGTTCTCAACTCTGGACCTCGAGATCCACTTTCCTGCAGAGTTTAGCTCCAACCCTAATCAAACACACCTGAACAAGCTAATCAAGTTCTTCAGGTTTCATCCAGGTTGGAGATAATCTCTGCAGGAAAGCAGATCTCGAGGTCCAGAGTTGAGGATACCTGTTCTATAAGAAACATGGAGGGAACAGAATACAATGGCGAGCACTCCAGCTATCAGAATCTGTTCCCCCAGCCCCATGGATGATGTAGTGGCTTAAAAGTTGTTGATCTGATTCTGTTTGGGGATAGATCTTAACCAATATCGGTTTGATAAATATAAAAAACTTATTTTATAAAAAACATGGAGAGACATGTTGATGTAGTGTATTCAAATTTGTTTATTATATGCAGTTTAAGAATGCATCTTAACCAGTATCAGTTTGACAAATATTAGAAGCTCCTTGTATAAGAAATATGAAGGGAACAGAATGGCGAGCAATCCAGCTGGGAGAATATGTTCCCCTATCCACTTGAAGAGACATGATCCAGTGGCTTAAAAGTTGTTGATGGGTCTTAACCAGTAACAGTTTGATAAATATTAAAACCTCCTTATATCAGAAAAGGGAGGAATGAATCTGACAGCGAGCAACCCGGGTGTCAGAATCTGTTCCCCCAGCTTTGTATAGAATCATGTTGATGCCATTTGAGGATGGATCTTAACCAATATCAGTTTGATAAATATTAGAACCTCCTTCTATAAGAAACAATGGGGAAATAGAATTCAATGGCAAGCAAACCACCTGTCAGAATAAGAATGAAAACATTTTTTGGTTTTCAACCTATGTTGTAAAATTTTGGTTACTCCTAAGCTTACTCATTTTGTGGCTAGAGGTAATGTGAAATGTTATTACCTCGTGTGAGCTTTGGGTTCTCAGAAAAATGTAAGTACTTACCAAAATTTACCCAACATGTCCCTGGATCAACATCATTGGTCATGGCTGGTCTTGGAACAACATTATTAGCCAAAGTAATGACTCATTATGGGTTTGTGCATAGGACTTAAGTTAGGTGCTTTAACAACATTCTTATCAATCAAGGTTAGGATTTGAGCAGGGATTGTGTTATAGCTATGATTGTTTAATGAGAATGTAGTTCCTGGACAAACAATGGAAGTTGATGCAGAAACATGTCCTTGAGGAAATCACATAATGCGTAAGTGCTCTTAAACTTTCTAGCCGTGCTTGCTTGCATGCAACAGTTGTTTTTTGTGTTTCCACAGACTGTAGGAGTTCTGACAGTTGGCGAAGCATTGATATCTGGCATCTATCGCTGTGTTGCAGCAAACTTAATGGGCAGAGATGAACTAGACATCCGTTTCTATGTCACAGGTACTTTGTATATATATAACTAAATTTAAAAAAATGCTTAAACCTTAACATCCAAATATTTTACCTCGTTCTCCATAACTTTTTCTCTCATATTCCCTCTCTCTCACTTCTTCCCTTTCTTCCTCTAATCCCGCCCTCCTCCGTCCCCTTGTTTTCGAGGGTTTGCTTTCAAGCTGTGCTAATTTCGGCCACAGTGGATGTAGCCCATCCTGGCTGTTGTCATAGCGACAGGGTGGAGGAGTGAACAGGAACCTGTGGGTCTTATCATCCTGCCTCCTCGTGCGGTGCATTATTTGGAGAACACTGGTGGTGTTCGGGAAAGATAAACATTATCTTCCATCAGGAAACCCTCGAGCGGTTTCCACTGGAAATTTCAAATAGCTAAAGTAAATAGCGCGCCTTTACACTAGCGTCTTATTGCTACTTGTACTGACAATGGCTATTCAACATTGTCATCAAAGGTTACAAAAAATGCTGCTTGGTCAACACTTCCAAAATGGTTTCTCTAGGCTGTTTTTTGTTTAATAGCCTCAAACAAAACTCGGTTATTGCGAGGAGGTCTGCATGTATTCGGTCTCACTGTATCGAGAATTTTATGCACAGGAAGTGGAAACTGAAACTGCTTTTGTCCACCATCACAGATGTCAAAGGAGGCCTTATTGCGTCTTTGGAGGAAGAGCCCAGAGAGGGAGGGGACCTTCGTCTGGTCTGTATAGCCAATAGGCACCTCTATTCAGACCTGTCATGGTATAGATTAACGAATCAATCCACCACATCAGATGGAGCTTCAGTTCTCGGCGGGGAGCTCAAAGAGGGGCAGTTCTCTCACACTCTGCAGCTTCTGCTGAAGAATGTGACTGCACAACACACACACACACACACACACACACACACACACACACACACATTCATGCTCTCTGTAAAGGGATAGTTTATCAGGACATGAACATTCTGTCATCATTTACTCACCCTCATGTTGTTCCAGACTTGTATGACTTTCTTTGTTGCATGGAACACAATATAGATATTTAACGAAAAGTCCTGGCCGCTCTTTTCCATAGAATTAAATATGGATGAACCCTAAAAAAACGACAAAAGTACCATAATAGTAGTTGATATATAATATGTAGAATCTATTTTGCATTTATGCACATACTTATCGGCCATTTTAGGATGTGGCACAACAGCTTTGACGTCAGTGCTTCCCAGCATTAATCTACACAGAAAGAAAAGCATACTGTTTTAAAACAACAAATAAGCAAATGATTTTTTTTACTGAAAGCAGAATTTTTTTACTGCTGTGATCTTTGGCACTTTTATGGGGTACAAAATAGGGTCTGAAACTCTTAAAAATGAAATTGTAATAAATATTTCTTCCTACACATCTTGAAATATTATTATTATTATTTATTTATTTTAAAATTGCATTTTTATTATTATTATTAATAATAATTATTATTATTTATTTATTTATTTTATTGCTTGTCTTTTTGTTTTGTTCGGAATTATCCCTGTAATTGCAAAAAAATTGCAATATTTTTTAATAAATATTACTAAACAATTAAACAACAGTTTTAAAATATCCAATAGTAGTCATTTACATTTTCCATTAGGTAATAAAATATTTTAATATTTTTCTTACAGTATCTTACAGTAACAGGGTTGATTGAGCTTGACAAATTTAGCCAACACTTACTTGCTCATATTATGTTACTACTTGGGTGTCATAGTTTTATTTTTTTTGTAACTGGGAGAAATCACATGGTAGCAGGTTTGTATGCAAAATGTGGGATACAATTCTGGTCATTAAAAATAGTTAAAAAAATAACTAATTGATAATAAATGTTTTAAACATATCTGATAAGGCTTACATCAAAAACAAGGGATTTGTGTCTAATTCTTTTTTTAAAAATAGGACACCACAGTATTCATGGTCATATATACCATATTGCTGTATCATCTGTACATTTACATGCTTACAAATGCAAACAGATCAGAAATAGCAGGTTATTGCAGGTCACAACAGCCATCTGATTTTAAGTCACGTAAGGATGTATTTGCAGACACCCACACATTCAGAGACAGAGGCGGAAAGAGAAACAAAAAGTGAAGGAGAAAGACAGAGCAAAAGGGGTCCTTGGGAACTGGGTCCCAGAGCTTCCTGTAGCCCTTCTCTCCAAGGCTGTGTGGAGCAGAACCTCTTTGGTGTGGGAATGAGATCTAGTCAGGAGGAAGAGCACACAATGGCACTTCCCACTATGCCACATTTACAGGCTGCTTCACATGGCCAAAGAACAATCAGCCAATCAGCCACTGTCACAGAACGAGGAAAGAGACAATAATCAATTGTGTCCAGGAGGAAAATATCTGAAGCAGAAGTTTAAACTTATTATTCTCCTCTTTTTCTAGTTTTATGTGATCACGCTTCATGTGAAGAACCCCTCGGGGATTTTTGTTGTATGTGAATTAAGTTCCAGACAAATTAACCGGCGATTCTCTTATATTAATCTACATAAATTTGAGACTACACTGTAAAACTTTCAACAGCCAAAGCAATAGTAGGCGTCCTTGGCCAGCTAACCCGGAAATATCAGTCGAGTCTGTGAAATGCTGAATGTGTCATTAAGACAAACAGAGGGATTTCTCTGAATGGCACAAATCCAATGGCTGCAATTCAAACATTCCAGGCCTCAATCTGCAATGAAAGAAATACAACTCTTAGTCTATTCACACTTTTGTAACAATAGCTACCCGCGTCACCCGTAAATCACTCAGCTGCTTTATAAGGCGGACGTGTAATGCTAAGTGCCTCATGTGATTGCCGTGATTTCCCTCAGTCTCCCTAAGGGTGTTTTTGATCTTTTTTGATTAAACTGATTCAGCGGACTTGGAACCCCTGACCCGAGCCCCTTTGTCTCACACTGTACAGTTCTGCAGGCACCGGTGCGGCTGCGAAATCTGAGCGATCACAGTGTTAACGTAAGCAACTCGGTCACTCTCCGCTGCCCCGCTCGGGGAATTCCACATCCCAGGATCACATGGTATAAGGACCAAAGAAAGATGCAGCGGGTGTCTGGTGAGACTAAAAAAAACGTGCTTTTTGAGTATTTAATTTAAGTATCCTGTATGTGAATAGATTACATATGTGTTTCATTTATTGGCAGGTATTATGCTGTTTCCAGAGGAAGGGACTCTTCATATCGACCGAATTACAGTTGAAGACCAGGGACTTTACACCTGTATGGCCACCAATGAGAGAGGGTCTGTGGAGAGCTCCGCCCACATTTGGGTTCAAAGTAAGCTTCTGCTTTGTCCTTTGTCTTAAAACCTGAGTAAATTTACTAATTTTAATTTGTATTATTATAGCTTATTTTACATTTTATGGCAAGTGTAAATTGAATTGGCCACCAATGAGAGAGGGTCTGTGGAGAGCTCCGCCCACATTTGGGTTCAAAGTAAGCTTCTGCTTTGTCCTTTGTCTTAAAACCTGAGAGTAAATTTACTAATTTTAATTTGTATTATTATAGCTTATTTTAAATTTTATGGCAAGTGTAAATTGAATAATAATAATAAATAATAATGCAATGAAATGCAATGAAAATCATTTTTAAATCATCGTCTATACACTACTGTAGAAATGGGGGGGGGGGGGTTTT